GGAAGGCACAGACCAAGTGACGGCGATCCCAGAGCTCCAGGCCACAAGCAACGCGTGTAGTGACAGCCAACGCCGACAACCTCGCCTTCAACTCCCAGACCGCGCCCACCGAGCTTACGCAAATCTCCGGAACCCGTTGCTGCAGCTGAACCCGCCAATTACAAATACACAGATCCACCTCCGCCCATCATGTCTGGTGCGTCGAAGCTATAACCTGGTGTTTGCCGCATACATGCTAACAGGAACCTCGTCATACAGGAAGCGCAGGCTACGACAGACACATTACCATCTTCTCGGACCAAGGTCGTCTCTACCAAGTCGGTACGCATCCCGAGCTATCTATGCCGCCCGAGCAACGATAGACCCCGCGACTTCCTGGAGGAGCCACGACTAACACGACATGCAGAGTATGCATTCAAGGCGATTACGGCAGCAAACATCACATCATTGGGCGTGCGGGGCAAGGACTGCGCAGTAGTCATCTCGCAGAAGAAGGTGCCTGTACGTATGGCAAGCACGACGGGCCGCACGCGGTACTGACGTATGTACACAGGACAAGCTCATCGACCCCTCCTCCGTATCCCACATCTTCCGCCTGTCGCCCTCAGTCGGCTGTGTCATGACCGGATCCATCGCCGATGCGAGAGCCTCCGTGAGCAGAGCGCGGGGTGAGGCTGCCGAGTTCCGCTACAAGTACGGCTACGAGATGCCCTGCGACGTACTGGCAAAGAGGATAGCCAACATCAGCCAGGTCTACACACAGCGCGTAAGTGGCGATGCGTGAAGAAGGTGCGACTGGATGCTAAGCAACGTGCAGGCTTATATGCGACCGCTCGGTGTGGCCACCACCCTCGTCTCCCTCGACTCTGAATTCGGCCCCCAACTCTACAAGTGCGACCCAGCTGGCTACTACGTAGGCTACAAGGCAACAGCCTCTGGACCCAAGACGCAGGAGGCGCTCAACTTCCTCGAGAAGAAGCTGAAGAACAAGGAGCACGCTGAGGGCAACTGGGAAGAGGTTGTCGAGCTGGCCATCACCGCCTTGAGCACCGTCCTGTCGGTCGACTTCAAGAAGAACGAATTGGAGATTGGCATCGTAGGAGGCCCCAAGACCAACGGCCAGGAGGGCACAGACTCCGCCTTTAGGGCGCTCACCGAAGAGGAAATCGATGAACGACTACAGTCAATCGCAGACAAGGACTAAGGAAGGAGCACTGGCCGTGGAGCTGGAACGGCATGTGGGTCGCTGAGGTATGACTGAGACGAACCATGACGATAACAACAGATAGCATGATACGACCTCTCAGACGTCAAAAGTGCTCCAGCAGCACCATGAATGAAGACGTTAGACTGTACTCTCCTGCATAAGCGCAATTGTGACGAAGCGGCCGGTCCTGGGACAAGAAACATGTGGTGAGTTCAGCCATGACTCCACTTGGTCTCGCCCATGACACCAGATTCCCATACTGCCTCAGCTGCAACGGTCTGCAATAACTCGCGAACTGCTCCATCGACGTCATGCTACTGGCTCCTAGTCGTCGGAGTGCCCAGCACAGCCGTCGCGTGGCTGACCGTGGCTTACCGTGGCTTTCGCGAGCGTTGTTCGACTTTGCGCGCACGTCAACCCTACGCGGGCACGCACTTCCAGGTTCATACTCAGCGGACAACCACGCGAAGACCGCACCACTAATTATAAGCATCGTCCAATCAGAGCGGATGCTGCGGCTGAGATACACAGCTTGGCCTTGATGCCTTACCCGATGCAGCCTACCAGGGCTGGCTCGCTAAACCACTTCGCTCGATGTGGCGCTTTTAGGGCTGCTGAAAAGGTCCAGCACCACGCTGCTCATTCCAGCTGGAGAGCAAACGTAGCGGAGCATCGAAAAATAGGCATGGTTAGATGCAGACGCACGGTTCCTGCATGTTTGGCTATCCCGTTGTAGTGGAGACTGGTACTGACGGTGATGCTACTATGCCGATTCTCACACCTCCTCACAAGCCTCGAGCTGCCGAATGCAAGGTCCTGAGTGGTCTACCTGGCCAGGGCCCTAGTACAGCTGGGAGCTACTCACGGTCCCAAAGTGGGACGTCCTTATGGTAGCGGCGGGAGCAGCCCTGCACGCATGGCTACTCCTACCCTACGCTATCGAGAGCCTTGCTCATGAACACTACCATCACCATCATCATCGTGAATACATGTCTTCTACATGCTATTTAATACTCGCCACGCCGCCTCAATTCACTGCCCATCCACATCAGCAAGCCTAGTTCTCTTCTACTATCTACGACTTACTTCTTATTAGCCACTTCATCAATCTGTCGCCAGTCGATCTTCATTTCAAAAAAATCGAAGCTACCATGTCTGACGGTCGTAAGGCTCTCCCTACTCCAGCAAGATAATTCCATCCTCCCAACTTCCCCAAATCATTCGACTATTCAAAACATAAAGGCTGACTTAGATATAGTCAACGATGCCCGTGCTATGCGCATTGCAGAGATCATGACCGACTTCCGCAACCTACAACACTACCTCGTCCAGTTACGCGCCACTCCCACTGCAGAAGAGTATTACCTTGAGGGGTACTCTCTGCTACGACAATGCACCAGCGAGGCACAGGCTATCCTACAGACACCGTTTTCTGGCAGTGCCAGCACGGGCTCAGGGGATCCGGAGGCAGAGAAGCAGCAACTGAGAAAGTAGGTCACTTCCTCCTGCCTGTTTCCCTCATGAGGGACTGCAGCAGCTAGCACGAAAGGGGAGTCTGACGAGTTCTAGCATCATCACAGACGCCGCTGTGCGACGCTTCCAATGCCAACGCGCTTACCTACGAGCCCACGCTGGCCTGCGGTGGATGAACGCCCGCAACAGCGTCTTGCGTGGCCAGAGGCCCAACGCGAGCCATCTGGGTGCACTCCAGCAGGCTGATGCTACAATGAGAAATGTACGTTGAATGTGCCATTCCCCTATTCCACTTCGAGATCGGAGGAGAGTTATTCAGAAGCGACGAGAAGCACCAGGCTGGGAAAATTGCATGCTGGCTCACTGAGTTCTAAGCTGACTATTGGACTACAGGAACTCCTCGCAATCAGCGATGCATATGTCGAAAACACGCTGCGCGCCGCAGACGCCTCGCAGGGCAAGTGGCTGAATGAAGATCCTTCGCTGGCGCAGATCCAACAGATACTTATGACTCGACGATGAGCATTTACGATCCAACAACACTGCCCGGAGCTCTCCATCAGATTGAGAATGTTACCGCCATCCTACGAATACGCCCACTCCCACATCATACTGCAGCGGATTCGGCCCTCCGCTCACCATCGTTTCCCCGCACACGTCTCCTCCGGCGAGTCTCTAGTGGCAAGACATGCCTACACATCGCGATTCATTGTTCAGGCTTTCTGAATACTACTCTTCTAGTGCTGGTCACACGGTTTGGGAAGCACATACACTTTGTTTCTTTGGGGTAGCCCTGGATGATAGCCTACTTTAGCGTTGGCGTTGGCGTCTTGAATCATTTTGGTGCATGGGACATGTTCCGCTCTTTTGGAAGGCACAAGCGACCGGTCGGCAGATATGCATGCGAAGTGATGGCAAAGCATGGCAAAAGCACAGGACAGTTCGGGTAAAGTTGACACAGGAACAGTTGTTCGGGCGTTTCCTCTATTCTTCTTCTCGCTTTTTTTTTTCGTCAATTACGGCTTTTAGGCTGTATCCCCATGTCCCAGTTCTTTCTTGAGTTGTTTCCTTTCTTTCGTCTTCTTTTCTTCTTTTCATGTCAATAATTCTAGTCATTATTGGTATTTCAAGCACGTCAACACCATCTCATGAACACGAAAACGCACACAAGCCTGTGACTAAACAACCCCTCATCAAGAAAACGAAACTGGAACCTGGAGCGATATGGGTATCTCGAACTAACTGCCTTTAGCGTGGTGCACTAGCTTTCAGCTTGACAGGCACATGGCCAGATCGAACTCGCACCGTCGAATCCCACACTGCGGAGCCGACCGATTATGCACGTGGATGCAATGCAGCAGGGCTTTTACCAAACGGTTGTTCGTAAGGCAGATACCTTGGCGTGGCATCAATGCTATGGACGTCATACACTAGGCAGGGCTGAGTGAGGAGTAATGGAGGCTCTAGCAGTAGCATGGGCATGTGCCAATGTGCTTCCGAGCGAATCACCATGCAACGCAGCCTCCCCAAGACACACCCCCATGGCGCAGAGTTAGCAACTGGAAACTTTCCATCGATCGCACAACACGGCCACCATCACACAATATCACGCGCAATCATGCATCGCCCAGCATCAAATCCCACATTCCCCGTTCCATGCATTCGGCATCGCCTTAACAGACCAGGATTACATCCCAGGGCAGCTCGCTTACGCCATCTTCCCGCGCACTTGGCCTGATTGCGGCCTAGGGGATCGTCGGAGTTCCCGAAGTTGGCGGGCTTAGCGTGCGAAGCCACGCTTCGGTACCGGACGAATATCATGTGCGATGAGTGTCGTGGGATCGATGCACGATGGCTAGTTGCAGATGGCTACAGGGCGGGGTGCAGTGCAGAAGGTGTTGACGGGAGGTAGGGCGAGGTTCTGGCGCGGTCGCAGAAGGTGGCGTGGAATGCTGAGTGCGATGGGTCGCGATTGGGTGGGCTTGAGGGTTTGCATTTGATGATGACGCGTCATTTCATCTTACTGCTTCGTCGTATGAGATGCTCTCAACAGTCAGAGCAATCGTTGTGGGCCTCTGCCTGGACTTTTCATGAGTTGCGTAAGCGGCAAACGTATAGCTTGAGGCATACACGAAGAGGAGAATGCGTCGTCGATTCAGAATAGGGCCCTGGTCCTGCTTCAGGCTGGTTGTTGAAGTCGTGCTTTGTGAAGTGAAATGATCGTGACAGCTTCGAGGTCGCCTATGGTCAGCACGAAAGTCGGATACAATAACAGCATGGTCACAAAAGGTGTAGACGCCGGACACCACAGATACCGCAGATGCGATCAGCGACGTATCGAACGGCGAGGAGTTCGAAGGCGACGGCGATTCCACTGAAGTATGTATATCCATTACGAACAAAATGAATATCGTTGACATTGTGCGAACAGCAACACATCTCCGACGACATCAAGCCCCGCTCCTGTTGTAGATCATGGCGATGACAAGGCGGAGAAAGATCCGTCCACGGACGAAGACGATACAAGTGACGGCGACGAAGATACCGAAGAGGAAGAGGACTCCGACGAAGATGAAGATGCCTCCGACGACGACGCAGCCTCCAAAGACAAGCCCGCTTCGAAGCAATCCTCAACCACCAAGTCCACGACCACACCCAAGACCAAGCCCCCGCAAGACGACAATGCGGCTACCCCCGAAACCACCGCGAAGCCCAACCTCAAGACCAAGACCGCTCAAGACGAGAAGGCGGCTAAGAAGGAGGCTGATGCTGAGAAGAAGAGGACCGCGGCAGTTAAGAAAAAGAATCACGAACGAGACATTCTCTCTTCCTCCGCAGCCAATCAAGGAAACATCTAAAACCATCGAGCAGGATAACTCGAACCCGGCATTCAATTCTGAGTTGTCGGATTTCGCATACCGACTAAACTACCAATTCCCAAAACTCACTGAACGACAGCTCAAGGAAGTCATGGACCAGCTGCAGGCCCATAACGTTGAGGACGTCGCCGCCATACTCGTGTGGGTAGCCAATAGCTCACAACGCGGCTCTAGTTACGACGAGATCATTGGATCCAAACAGTATCCGATGGTGGGAGCTTGGAAAGACGCCGACTTTGATGTAAAGCAGTACGAGATGAGCCGCGAAGACTACGGCTGAGGCAACAGAGCTGTGTAAGGAGTTATAGCGGTGCGTGGTATCAACATTAGGACCAGGAAGACTCCGTGACGGCTTGAGAGAGGGTGCCCGAGGAAGACAGGTCTTCCCCCACTAACGGTAACCGAATACTGGGCCACCCGAGAGGGCTACATATTTCCCAGCCCTAGCCGTGAAGCCTCAACGGCGCTATACGTATCCTTCCCGCCCCTCTAACTCTCCCAGAATACTCTATGGATCACGGCATGTACACTCCGGGAGCGTCAACAACTGCCCCGACCTTTGGCGCATCAAGTCAAGCGCATCCGTATCGACTACAGGGAAGCATGGGCAGCATGTATTCAGCACTCTTACTGATGCTGGGAGTATTCGTGCATCTGTAAATCCTTTGAGGTTACCCAGCTTGATCGCCGGAAGCAGTCAATCCAAGCTTCCACAACCGCCCTCGACATCATAAACAACTCTGAAGGATACATAGGGCCCGGCCAAGGTTACAAGCAGTCATCATCAAAGACTGGGAGAAAACACAGGTTGGGCTCGCATGCGGGTGTCGCCACATAACCTACCCGGGGAGTATTCAGTGTTGGTTAACCCATCACCATGCTTCCGCCAGACTTTAAGCGGAGGAACCCGCTCAGGGTGCGACCTTTCCAAGACTTCGATGACGCCGCCCCACCACCATCCAATGCACGAAACAGGCTCTTGAATATGGTCCATGAGACTGAAGGGTTTAACCCAACTTAGAGGAGAAAGAAGGTTGAGGAATACATCGCCCCTAAAGAAGATGACGAACAGAAGCCTTCGAAGAGGAAGTGCAAGAACAAGAACAAGAAGATGAAGGAGGCAAAGGACGTGAGTCCCCGCACTTCTGAAAAGTCAGTATGACTTGCTGTGGAGTCTGATACAGGAAGGGCTTCGGTTTGGATCAGATGATCACACAACGGAGTCGGGGATGGATTTCGCAACACTATCGGAGCTTACCAATGCGAAAGAGCCCATCGTTCTCGACTCACATCAACGCCATGCTATCCATAGGGCCCTCAAGAGATTGCATGCAGGCCATCATAGAACCATTGTAGCATACGGCATGGGTATTAGCAAGACGCTGGTAGCCGTAGGATTGTACGCCGTCTTAAAGCAAGACTTCGCCATGCATGGGCTTGATTGGCCTTTGCTTGACAAGACGAGTTTAGACAAAGGGCATAATGCGCATAAGTTCGACCCCAAGATAAGCATACAGGAAGGACTCTTAATCGTTGTTCCAGTCGATCTCATTCCCCTATAGAAGAAGGAACTCCAGGTGTACTTAGAAAACCCTCCAAGTGTCATTGTATACCATAGACACCAGTCGTGGTACCACTCCACTGCGCATACTGCAGACGAGCTTGCCGCAGTTGATGTAGTAATAACATCCTATGAGACGCTACGGTCAGATTACAAAGATGCCACAGCTGCTGCAGCGTCGCACGAAGACTTCTTCAAGACACCGGTTCTCGCACGTTTCCCCACCATGGTCATATACTGGACGGGCCAAATCTTGGACGAGGCACATAAGATCGCAAACGACAAGACTGGTGTCAACAAGGCTGTAAATCGCGTTCGAGCGTTGATGCGTCTGCCACTTACGGGTACGCCATTCCTCAACGATTACACAGATATCCAGTCCCAGCTGTCGCTGATCAAGCTCGCGCCCTGCGACGATCCGAACTTTTTCGCTTCTCATTTCCTGTTACATTCTGCGGCCAACCCATTCATATACCGCACGTTGTCGGGCGAACTCAACGGCGTGCTCTCTCTGGTACTTAAGTCATGCTCTCTCCAGCTAGATCGTGGAGACCATTTTGATGGCGAGACGGGTGCTTCCGAGATCAATGTGGAATAAATTCGACATGATCACGAATTGGAAAGCTGGGAGCGAGACGCGCAAGAGAACGTTACACAACCGTGGCTTGCGACCTACAAGCCAGGCGAGGGTGAAGCGGCAACAACGGCGAAGATATTCTCAAGCTCATCATCTTTGCCAGAGTAGCGGCTGTGCACCCCGAATGTGCTGACGCGGGTCAAGGAGAGAACGGAATTGTCAGAATCGATGTTCGGGATTTGATGGTGATGCATGTGAAGACTTCCTTCCAGATGAGATCGGACCCTCAAGGCGGATCAGTGCGGTAATGACGTCATAGCGAGCGGACCTTGCGACGCGTTCGTTTTGATCATGTATTCCCTCCAACTCTACCTAAGTATCTTACAATTCAGGTTTTGCTCAAAACAGCCGTTTTTCAATATCCTCAATCATACTCCCATGCTTTATTGACATATTTAGTCGATCGCTGTGCTCAGCCTGACTTGCCAATAGCTCTTATCCTACCGCCCCAAAACCACAGCACTGCACTTGCTGGTAATCCCAAACCAATCGAGGCGAAACCCAATGCGCTGTTACCCCAACCATATCCCAGACTGTTGTACATGTCGGGCGCAAAGATCGGAAAGACAAATGCGAGGCCATACGAAACCGAACGAATTGCTGCACCGGAGGAAGCTGCGAACTGGCCAAACTCCTCAATCTGGTATGCGATGCTTGCTTGGTTCACAATGAAGCTACCCAGCGTGAAGATAACAACACCGAAATCGACCATCACCCAGTGGAGTGTGCGCTCGGCCGACCACCCATACCAGAAGAGACCGGCTGGCATGATGATCATTCCTGGAACCATGTAGGGGATGCGAAACTCAGGGACGCCTTTCCCATCAGTCCGTTTAGCTTGTTTTCGATACGACCAGTCCATGATGCGGCCGCCCAGTTGACCACATAGGGTCGAGCCTATTGCAACCGAGAGATAATGTAAGCTGCCGACAAGCTCAGATTGACCGTATTTGTCGATCCACAGTGACGCATAAGTAGCGAGCATGAGTGTATAGACGGCGAAAGACAATGTTGCGGTCAGTGAGATGAGCCAGGTGATAGGCCTTGTAGTAAAGATGCGAATTGGACGCAGGAGGTTCTGCGCAGTGCGAGCACGCTCAGCTTTGGTGGTTAGGACGTTACCACCCTCGGCTAAGGCTTTGCGACGGAGCAAGACTGGTGTGTATGATTCGCGAATCAAGAAGAATCCAACGATCAAGACTATTGCGTTGAAAGCACTCATGATCCAGAAGACCCACGACCAATGGAGGGAATGAGTAACAAGACCACCGATGATTGGTCCGAGAGCAGGACCAAGGAAGGGAAGTAGGGTCACCATGGCCAGGGATTTGCCGCGTTCGTTCTCGCCATACATATCTGCCATGACTGGCCCATTCAGCTGCGAAAGATCAGTCACTGTCATGTCGGCATCGATCAGGCTCATCACTTACCGTTACGCCCACACTCGCACCAGCTCCGGTCATAAACCTCCCAACGATCATCAAGCCAGTGTTCCTTCTCACAGGACAAAGTGTGTTCCAGGCCACGTACCAAGCGTTACATATCAGCCAAACTGGCTTCCTTCCCCATATCTCACTGGCGCTTGCGATTAAGAACGGCGCGATGCCCATGCCAAGGAAGTATACCGACATGGTTATTTGGGCGGTAGAAGCGCTGATGGCGAGATCGGAAGCGATGGCAGGAAGCGACGGTGCAATCATACTTGCAGACATTATGGGTATCAGCTGGCCGAAAGAGAATATAATTCCCATGGTGAACTTGCGCGAAGTTTGCCAGTTGTAAGGATCGGAGGTGTCCGTGGGCGACGCCCATGTTGACTAACATGTTAGCAAGAATTGATCAAAGTAGGACATTAACATACTCCGTAATCATTCTTCAACCGCACCAGGCGGTCGTTAGTACCGTCAGTGGTCCAAGACGTTATCTCCGGGTCTTCCCCGTCACGGGCTCGATGCTCAGTTTTGAGTATGCTGGGGGCTCGACCACCAACAATTTCATCAACAACTTCCTCTACGTCTTTGGAATGGAACATATCAGCTAACATTGTCAACTAAGATTGCCGATGATCCAATGAATTGTGCTGCGCTCTGCGTACAGTATATACAATGTTCGCTCGGAGTTCGGAACTATGGTCTTATCAGATCGGAATCAGCTCAGGCCCTCCATGCCGATTGCTGCCTAGCAGGATCTGATAAAGTGTCAGTCCTCCATGCCGCCGTTGATGCTTTGACCTTCCTATTGCAGTTGGAACATGGCTGGCAGAAATGCCAATGTGCGTTTACTAGTGCCCGGCTTTCATCGACCATGTCTGCCACTCTTCACCACTACTTAGGTACCTTCCCAACCAGTTGACCGAGGATGCAGTCGCATTCGAAGCGTAGTTAACGGACTCAGATTCGAATACATCCATTGACGATGTCTCCGGCCTCTACCTTGTCCATTCCTGAGACTTTGGCCACGCTCTACGTATCCTTCAGGGTCGATTCTGGTGCCGAGTGCCAATGTAGGAAACTTTGGTCGTCTGCTTCTGGTTTACTGGTTTGTGATTCGGCGGTCTGCGGGGCAGCAGTCTATACCAAGGAGAGGAACATGGTTGGGAATATCTGAACAGATTTCTTCACTCTGGAGCCTGTATCATTATAAAAAGAGACAAATGGAAAGTTTGGCAGCAATGGAATCTTTCAGGTCAACTTGAGGCCTGCTTACAACTAAATGTCCTTTCTGCATCCTCATAAAGCAGGTGCGTGTTGAAACTTTCCATTAGATGGAGTGGCGGCAGCTTCACATGGAAACAGCGGAAAGTAGCCAGACTGTAAGCTACAGCATCAGGATACGAGATCATTCAGGTTACGAGGATCTCTAAAGTTCAGTTAAAGCAGGCATAGTGCAGTTTCAAATGGTGTGACAACGGTAAGAGTTCTATCACAGTCGCCTAGACGACAGACATTCCATCAAAGACTAATAACACCAGGACTCATCGACTCGTCGAAGGTCTCCTTTCCGTAAAGCAAGAACTCCATGTCGGTGACATTATGTATGTCGCCCTGATTCCTTCTCCAGCATCCTTAACAAACATCATATCCTCTGTATTTCCTGTTGCCAGCTCTGATGAGTCTGACCCTCCGGAAACATACTACTGACCACCTGCCCCGTCTTCATATCGTAATGTGATCCTGGTGGCAACTGGTTATGCATGCCACCTGGGCTTGTACTGCCGCCTCCACTTCCTTCGTTCTGTCTCGGATCGAGGAACTGTCCATGTCCACTTACACCAGACCCTGGCCGTTGTGGCTGAGAACTGGATCGCTCGCGCCATCGCTGACTTTGCTCGTCTTCCCGAGTGAAACGCTCGTATGGACTGGGCATGCGGACGTCAGGCTGGAATGTAGCGGCGCGCGGCGGAGCGAAAGATGGTGGTTCCCATTGACTTCTTCCTGTAGCTTTCTCTATGTAGTACCAGCGTTGGCTTCTTGTGTCGTACTCCTGTATCCAACCCTGTGGCACTGATGGCGCACCGCCCTGTGGAGCAGGGCTGCCGCGGTAGCCACCTTGAGACTGCGGCCGGCCTTGCTGTTGCCCGTGGAGGACCGGCATTGGGTGATAACCATTCGCACGCGGCGGTGATCTGGTTCCGCGTCTCTGTTGCTCGAACTTGTGGATCTGTTTGGTGATGTAGTTGTCTGCGCGCTGTATGTAGGTCTCGAATGACATGGTGGCGTTCGTCTCGTAGATCAGGATAGCGCTAGGCCCGTACCGCGACAACGTTAGACTAAACGAGTAGTAGACGATGGTAATTGTGGTGCGTTTCACACAGCCACAACGGGGGCTTCACGCTATATATGCTCTGCCCAATCCCTTCCCCACGGCGTGCGTAAGCCACTCCTAGCCACATGTCATCAGCAGCTCTGCATCACAATGCAGGACTAGCCGCACCAGCACACTGCAGAAGTCTCATCAAAATGGCGCCGCAATTTTGAAGCTTAGCATGGCTTCTATGGCGCAGGCCGCCGTGTGATTGGCCAAAGCAGGGGCGGTGCGGAAAGCGCGGAAGTGTGGCTCGCGTGAGGTGGCTTTCGCGCGTCGCTAATTTGCCGATTTCCGTGGCGCATGCGACAGCGAGGGATGTGACACCGAGTTTGCGTAGCACCGAAAGCTACCCGAAACCACAATTTGACGCATACGAGATCGTGCGCGCAGTGCCTCCGAACCATGAAGAAGAAGCGATGAGTGTTGGTGTCTCGTCGCAGAAATCGTGCTAAAAGTCCATGTCACTATCCTCCCCATGTCCCTAGATCCCTCACCAAAAGGAATGGAAAAAGAAGCCTACCATTTGATGATAGTGCTCACTCATCCCTGGTACGAGTGCTGCAGGGTGGGCCTTCCGTTCAGAACCATATCCACGATCTGGTATCCGGACACAAGCTCCAAGTGAAGGCCACACTCTCAAATGATGCGAGAAAGCCCCTGTTGACAGCCAATTCCCAGACCGGTTGGTCGTCCCAAATCGAGTAGTCCAGTTCGGCGGCATTGCGAATCGTGCGCACCTTCGTGGGGGCAACGATCACCTGCAAGGTGGAGCGTCATGTCTTGTACGAATGCGAGTCCGATAGAGGCAGAATGATCGATAGAACGCCCGTGTGATAACTGCAGTATAAGAATCTGGGTATTCTCGCTGAAAAAGATGAGATAATCCAACGGTGTGCCTAGGCAATATCTCGATATAGTAAAGCTTGTCATCGTGCTTCTCGAAGATGATCTCTGATCGATACGCACAACGCACGACACTCCTGGCGTAGCCGAGCACGAATCAGGGCCAGACTGCAGTAGTCCTGGGAAAAACACATCTCCCCTTCGTATCGACATAGTCAGAGGAAAATTCTCGAAAATGGTACGCGCGTCCGGCGTCACCGTCCCCGATGACGGACCCATCGTCATGGCTGCATAGCTCTGATGATAGACTTATTGGGTATTTCAAGATTACGAACACTGGATGAATGACCAGCTCCAAGAAAGGAAAGGCTGGCAACAGGTGACGGCTCGGTGGAACCTGCGGAGAGTAGCCCGCTCGCGCGCTCGGATCGACGGCTGATATCTGCGGTATGCTTGCGATAGGCTCGTAGCGACCAAAGAACGTCAGTATCCATCTTGTTCAGTAGCTTTCAGTACATACCTCATTGTGTCTATGTGAAATGATTGCTTTTGTAAGGTCTTTCGGGGGTTGCGTTTCGAGCTGCCCCTTGTTGCTTTGCTGCAAGCCGCCAGCATGCTTGCCGCGAGGAATTCACCCGTTCTAGATCTGAAGACATCTGCACTGTGCTTCGAACAAGTATGAAAAGTGTTGTATTGACTCCCAGCGTTCGTCTGTGGAAAGCATGGTATCGTACCGGGATAAGAGCGACCACTATCTAGAGAAGTCAGTTGCCGCCGGAGCCCACCAGGCTCTCAACTAAGTGCAGCATACAGAGCCAGGCCCGGAAAGTCAATGTGAGCGCTGACCTGTGTCGACGCGTCCGCTTGTTGTTTGGGTTCCTGGCAGATCGTCGCGCATCGCGAGCGGCACCTGGATGACGTCACGGTCACGTGCTCTTGTCATCTGATCTTGGAATGCTGCACGTACCTACCTAGGTACAGTCAACTCAAGTATCAGTATTCAACTTCATATTAATACAGCCATAACTTCTGACCCCGAGACGAATCTCTGCCACAACCGCATATCGCCATCTTTACTTCGAACCCTTGATAAAGTCGCCGCGCAGCCACTTCGGCGCACCTTTCCTCACGAAGATCATGTCGTTCTCCGTGTCCAGTCCGAGTGCACTGAACCACTCCAATGCATCCTCTGGTACGTGCGGTAGCCTTGTCACTGATATTTTACACTGCTTGACCCAAGGTACTGTGCTTTTGGGATTCAGTACCAGCCTCATACCGAATACGCTTGGTTCCTTCAGCTCCACGCTCTTGAAGACGCCCTCCACTGCGGCTTTCCACTCCGCCTCATAACCAACAAATAGTTCATTGAAGATCGCGCCTCCCTTGCCCACGAACTCGTACTCGAGACCAGGCGTTTGGAAAAGGCTTAGAAGCAGGGGACGGATTTCGATGGGTGTATCGTATTTGCCACGGCGTTCGACATCAGTACGTATGGTGAGCCAGGCGCTGATGGTGTTGCGATCGACAACAAAATTGCCAGACGACGGGTAGATGGTATCCAGGTAGTCTTGTGCATCGCGGATGTGCACCGATACGGCACGGTCCCTCAAGTACAGTTCGCGGAACTCGCGACGCGTTTGTCGTGACGCCTGAGTCAAGCTGTAGTAACCGCGCGCAGCCCAGAACGCTTCACTTGTTGTTGTGACACTGCGCCGGCTGACGTGCTGCTCAACAAGGCGCTGCTTGTCATTCGCGGCAAGCGCGTATATCCTGTTGCGCACCTCTACGCGTCTGTGAGCTGAGAACAAGTTGTGCCGAGGTTGGTATGGTACCTTGCGGAAGGTCGCTAAAGCCCCGGCCCGCAGACCTGCCAGCATTCACAGTGGATGGGTTCGAAGACATTGTGACGCTCATTGCAATGTTGCTATAAGCTTTTGCGCAAAACAAAAGCTTTCTTGGGAGTTCTAGGGGGTTAGAAGAGGTTGTGGATAGAAGCGCATTCAGGAAGGTGAAGGGTTGGGTGTCAGCGTGCTAGCCGTATTAGGCAGGACGTAATCGTCGGCCGCTAGAGGATACGTAATTTGATTGTTGACCGAGCGACAAACGACGCATTCCCTTACACGTCGCCTTTCTTCACTTCTTATTGACTAGCAGGCCATCCTCATAATGTAAACATTAGGTCGAAACAGTTTGCCTTGACCCAATGGTCTACGCGCCCAGGGTGCCTTACCACATTCGCCTCCTTATCGAATTCGATCAATCATCAACTTCAACAACTGACCTGGTGCCGACGCACATTGCAAAAGATAGCGCAAAGGATTCTGTGAAGAAATCAACGACCGCAGCTCTTTTGGACCACGACATTTTGCGAGTCTAAATCAACAACGCGTCCTACCATGACCGTTCACATCATGTCGCGGATTATGAAACTCGTGAAGCCAAACTGCCGACATCGACAAGCCATCCTCGTTCATACTTTCGGACGCGTTGGTTCTCTTACTGGATTTCTACACCGTATCGATAAGGCGTCAGATCCCAGCTCCAGAGTGGCTCATTTTTGTCGTGAAAGTAAAGGTCGGGGTCGAAAGCGGAGCACACAAGCTGATATCATTCATAAGGCCTCTAATTGGAATCGATCTTAGGTCTGCACGAGGTCTGAGGCCTGAGTTTTGTATCGATACGACTGTAGCAGTCGTATGGCTGCTGGACGCTGCATCTCTGGTCGTCTTGCTACTCCGTACAGGACACTACAAGACCGCACGCCATACATGACATGCGGGATGAGATAAAGCTATCAGACAAGCAGTTGCAGCAGGTAAAACTGGGAATGCAGAGGGCTTACTTTCATTGAGCGATTGCGTCACTTCCCAGGTAACTTGCTCACTCACCACCACGAAGCTCAGACTCTTTTCTCTCAATATCAGACCGCTGCCTGTGCTCAAACTGTTCACTCGCCTTCGCGTCTGCCTAAAAATAGCTAAGCAAAAACCTGCCCTTCTACAGCCCTTGCTTTGTTGTTGATAACTGACACAGCCAATCCCAACTTCTGTTCAAATTTACACAAAGAGCAAAACCCTCCGCACAACATGAAGCTGTTCAATTCCTTGGCCATCTTGCTGATTGCTGGTATCGCACTACTCACTGCGGCTGCTCCAACTGTGGACGACGGCAGTACCGATGTCACGCCTCTTGAGTACACAGGTATGAAGCATCTCTCAACGGCTTTTTGGTTTCCACTTACTGACAACGATAGATGTTACCACCGCCGAAGATTGTTGCGACTGGCGACCGACTTTGAAACATCACGGTGCTGCTACTGTGGAGGTCTGGGTTGGCCGTCCGGCCATCAACGGGGGTTACTACAAAGGCGAGGACTTGAAAGCGGCAGTCTGGAACATGGTGGACCATCTCTGTCCCGGTCAGCGTTTTCAATGCGACGAGCCTTACCCAGGCCGCTGTGTCTGGGTTGATCACGTCACCAAGTTAAATCCTTTCCCGGTTGAGAGCCAGAAGAGTAGGCCAAATATTCCTCGAGGGGTACGCAAACACTGATTTCTGGTCTAGCTACTCTTTGTATGGGAGTGTATGGGGCTTGGGAAACTGAGGAAATCCGTCAACTTCTCATAGACATGGTTGCTGCGGTTCTTAGTGAGTGCTTCCCTCTCCTTCACCAAACAATAATCACTAACTCGGGTTTGATAGTCGGCTTCACAAACGATGCTTATACCAGCCCCAACTGCTACGAGTTCCCCGGCTCGATGATGTGCAACCTCCCAGACGGAGTTCGTGTCAACCTTCCCCCTCTCGACGGCGCTAAGGAAACACATACCAACTACCTGCACGTCAAATTGATGAAGGGTGGTAATGTTCAGCACGAATTCCATTGTTGCGAGACGCGCGACAAGGTTGATGCGCAGCTCGACACGCTATATGACCGCATCACCGGTATGTTCCATGAGGACTATGGAAAGTTTCGGCTGACTAATTGTATGGTTCGTGGCTGGACGACCTGCGAACAATGTTACGATAGGTTTGATCCTGACAAGTGCAAGAGGTGTGGCAAGGGATGCAGAAAGCTAGATTAAGCGGGCTTGGACACGCATCGAGGTTCTACACGCCAGGTCTTAGTACAAGGTAATTTAGAAGGTTGTTTTGGCAGCTAAGCTTCTCATTTGGGGAGCTTCATGAATGGGTAGCAGAGAGCGTTCAGCTCTTTTGTATCCTATCATTACCATAGAATCTCAACACTAAACTCATCTACTAGCAGCAGTTACGCATCCTTGACGCTGTGATGTAGATTGTTCAGTTGCCGCAACTTTGTCTCTCGAAAGTGTGACGTTTGGCGCTATCTTGTATCTACTATCATGCATCCCTCTTTGCAAGCCATTTTGTATAGCAGAAGCATGTAATCTCTTGTGACCTCCGCAGCGCGCTCGTATCCACCGCCACTAGGCTCAGCCGTCTAGGCTGGTCGGGAAGGAACCCCCAACAACGCCATTACATTCCCCCCTGCGTTATGCTCCTTGATCATCCTTGACATGACTTGCATCAGATACGGGCGTCCCTCACCTGGCAAGCTCGCCTTGAACTGTTCGATCCACTGACCTGCGCGGTCCTTGTTCTGTGCAGCTTCTTCTGACGGGTTATCCGGGGTACATAACACGACCCGCAGACACTGCCAGACCTGTAGTAGGTGGCGATTGATGTTCGCGCGGAGCTGGACGGACAGTTGCGGCGGTGTAGGGTTCGGGTTCGATGTGGGATCTTGAGGATGCGACGTCGGATAGCCTTGGGGTGCGGGTGGCTGAGGCGGCGACATCTGCTGTTGAGGAGTTTGAGGAATAGTGTAGTATGGATCCGGGGACGACGGGGAGGATTGCACGGGTGTAATACCCGGCTGAAGCGGGGGTTGAGCATATACCTGGTGAGCTTGAGGCTGGAACTGAGGCTGTTGAGTCTGATGTATGTCTCCCATCCGCGCTTGGGAGCCCTCCTGATTTTGAGTCTGCTGCGCCCTCTGCTGCTGCAACTCCATTGCAGCCTGCATGCTGGCCATTGACTGGTTGACAATCATGTTGGCATTTTGGATGTTCGCGAAAGCTCTCGCTCGTAGATCATTATCTTGAGAGTCGCGCACAACAGCCCCATTTTCATGGAGGAGTTTGGCGATCTCCATACGCTTGTCGGGGTGGAGGATGTTGTATCGCGGATCGTGCAGTATATCGACTGGGCGGAGAAGAGGGACCTGCTTACTCGGGTTTGTGAAGTTGTTCAAAGCTGGACTGGGGGTAGAGCTCTCAGGCAGACTGGTGGCACTGTATGACTGTTGTTGAGGCAACATAATTGGCGGGGGTAGCATCGGCGCTGGTGAGGTGAAAGGCGAGAGCATGGTTGGCTGGTGACGTGAGTTCATCTGCGCCAGGTTCTCATCGATATCAGTCGTAGATGATGAGCGCAAGAAGGACGACTTTTGTTGCTGAACAACAGGCTGTTGATAGACCGGAGCATTCCTCATCTGCGTCTGTTGCCTGGTCATTCGCACTGGCTGCTGCTGCTGCTGCGATGGGCTAAAGCGAACTGCTGATCCAGGCTGGGGTCGGCGCTGCGACGCGTTCGACATGCTACGTTGCGCAATTGCCTTCTCGTGAACAGTGCGGACGCCTTGCGGTGGTAACAACGGATAGAGGGGACTGCCCGTCTGCGGGCGTACATCCAATCCGGGAGTAGTACTGCCGCTGCGTGTGCCACTCAAATCGGTGTTAGTGAAGCCATAGTTTCCGGTTTGCAACTCTCTCGTAACTCCAGGCTCAAGCGTCTCGAGTCGTTCGGCGGTCTTGTAAGACCAAGATCGTGAAGGCATGCTGTTAGTGTACCGGACTGGCGGAGGTGGACTCATGTAGTATATGGCAGGGTGTAAACCAGGTTCCTGGGTCACGACCAAACGCTCGTCGGGTCCGTAGATGAAGTCGGTGTAGGCAGGGAAGATGTCGCAGTCGCGCTGCAGGTCTTCCCAGTCCTGGTCGTGGAAAGGCATTTCTGTAATTGTCGGGTACCAATCGATACCAATGGCAGAGTGAGATAATGACGCGTCCCAGTGGTATTTCAGCGGTGGTGTTGATAATTCCTGTGCGTTCGGTAGCGCCTAAGGGAAGGCGCGCGGCCGCCAAGGAAGGTGCGGTGGAGGAGCGGGATGGTGAAGCTGACTTCCGTACTGGGTTCGTTTGCAATACAATCTTCAGAGTAGTGTAAGAGCCGGCTATGTTTGCAGGATAATGCTGGTAGCTGAGCAAATCTCTTTGTATGACGTTGAGCTTCACGGTTCGGATAATCTCGCTTCGTCCGCAATTGTCTCTGAATGCGCTGGATGTTGATGGTGTCCATCTAGACATGCAGAACCACAAACATGAGGCGAGCGTAGAGAGCGAATGCGGGAGTGCACTGTACGCTCATCTGGAGGATTCGAGCATTTTGGCTGACTGAAAGACGGAATCAAAAGTGGGAATTATTTCAGATGTCTCCAGCTTACCAGGCCTTATTGTAGTACGCTTAAAACCCTTTTGCTATTCTAGAACCGGGTGTTCGAACAACTTCAATTCAATATCGTTCATAAGCGTCCTGGCAATTTCGAAAATGTTCTGCGCTTGGGATATGGTAGTGCAACCTACTACCTTGACACTGCGGGTGCCTACGTTTCCAGTTGAGCAAATGAGGGGAAAACGGAAAGCAAGGAAGAGAAATGTCATATCTCGGTGCCAGCGATATATGAGATGAATACCTGCTTAGACCCATCCCTTGAAGTGTGAATTGACGACAGAATAGAGACAAGGAATAAGTCAGCGAGATACGTGGGTTCCCGCGATCCCTCTTATCTTCGAATAAGCGCAGACACGATCTAGAGTCAAGCCCTAAGCGTCGAGCTGATGATAATTTTGGTAATAGGCAGAGTATGTGGATGAAGACAGATGATGAAGCATGCCAGACAAGGTAGGTGTCGGCGAAACCATTCACCGAGACGCCAAAGAATGTCGCGCTCCCCACCACCCCACCATCATTTGGTCGATCTTACAGCAAAGTACCCACGGTCTCTACCTTACCTCCGGATCCTCCGCTCCCTACCTACCTTGTTCTGCGGTACCCTACACCACAATGAGCGACGCGACGCCTACACCTGAACCAGAAACCCTTGAAACGCTACAATCTCGGCATCGCAAAGAGCAACGCGACCTCGTATCCCGTATAACACAAAAGAAGAAACAAGCGAGCAAAAAGACACGAAAGGGCGTCAACGATGAGTGCGAGCGACTCGAACGCGAATTGAAGGAGCGGCAGGCGCATGAACTCGCCGTGCTGAACGGAGAGGCCGTGGACGCGGAGGAACAAGCAGAGGACCCACAAAGCTCTGGGGATGAAGCGCAGGATATCCAAGAAGACATGTCCAATCTCCGAGTAAATGGTCCGGATAGCAAAGACGGCAGCACCAATGGCGATGCCACCGAGCCCAAGAAGAAGAAGCCGAACCGTGCCAAAGCCCGCCTCGCCCGTCGCGCCGCCGAACAAGCCTTCATCATCGCAGAAGCAGAGCGCGAAGCTGCCAACGCGCCGAACCCACGCGAACTAGAACGAGAACGCATGGCGACACAATTACAAAAACACGGGCTGGCGCTGCATGAAATACGCGCGGATGGTCATTGTCTGTACGCTGCAGTCGCAGACCAACTGCAGATACGGGAGTTGGGCTTGAAGCCAAAGATAAGTGTCACCATCAATGGACAGGGAGACCAAGGACTGGACGCTAAGCCCGAGGCATATAAGACGGTCAGGCACGCGGCAGCAGACTGGATCCAAGGCCACGCGGACGACTTTTCGGGCTTCATGGAAGACCCGTTGCCGGAGCATGTGCGCAAGATTAGAGAGACAGGCGAATGGGGTGGCCATCTGGAACTGCTAGCATTGGCTCGGACATACGGTCTAAGGATATGCGTGCTGCACAGTGATGGGCAGGTAGACCGGATAGAGGCCGAGGACGAGGTCAAAGAGAAGGAAGAGATCTGGCTGGGATACTACAAGCACAGTCATGGTCTAGGCGAGCATTACAACTCGCTACGCAAGGTTGGATGAGGCTACCAGGGATGTGCAACCTCTCATCAACCTGCTACGCTCAATGCCATCTCTGCTCCACCGGACAATCTACCTTGTGTCGCCACATACTCACGCAGTCTCGTACGAGACCTTTGATCACGCCAGCATCGTGGGTCCTCCTGGGCGTATAGTGCGCGATCTTGACCAGCGCGTTGTCCGTCTCCTCTCTATCCGTCTTTGTCACCACGCCCTGATCGTCATACGAGATATCCTCACCTGGCTGCTTGAGCAGCTCAGTGTGTACAAGCGGCGGAAGCGACCACGGAGGGCCGCCGGAGGATGCGGGCTTATGTGTTGGGAACTCGAGACAAATGAGGACACCGCCGGTAGACTGGGAGTTCGTGGCCGGACGGCGGAGAAGCGTGGTCATTCGAGATGCCCACTTTGGCCTTAGCGACAGAGGGAGCGCGCAGAGGAACTACTCATCGCATCAGTACAGAACACCAGGCAATGTTCACGAGGCACGTCTGGGACTCTACTTACCGTAATGTCGTAGATAATGTCAAATCCTTCATCACCCGCCCAGCCCTCTACATCTGCCAACCAGCCATTCTTAAAGAAATCCCCACATACAACATTCATCGCCCCTTTACCGATTTTCTCATCTGCCACCTTGTATTCTCCTTCCGACGGGCCCTTGCCAGCGTCCTTTAGATAACCCTTCGCAGCCTCAGCAGCATGCGAGGATACCTCGAGCCCATAAGCGTCATATCCATGCGCCGCGAAGAGCGCTACATCGTATCCCTTTCCACACCCCGGCACAAGCACCCTCCTCCTCTTCTTATCGTCTCGTAAAGGTCCAGCGAGGGACGCATAACCCACCGACTCGCTATTTGGTGGTGGTGCTCCGAGAGATGGATTTGGATCTGGGGACGACAATGGGCGACCACGCTCCTGCAGCAGGTCAATCAATGCGGGGTTCGCGTGACCACGATCCCAAGGTAGG